ATAAAATGACCTGTTAAGTACTATTCAAATTAGTAGTTATTGGTATTTGAGTGGTGATTTGGTTTATTTGGGTAGTAAGAGGTGCTAAGTCCCGTCTGGAGTATAACACTGACAAATGCAGCTGGGTTTCACTGATGAAATCAATAGCTATAAACAATCCGAACTTAACTGAATCTTAGGTGATATGTATCCACATGTGTGCTTTGTTTTTGACAGTCTATTATATTTTGCTAGGTGTATATGGATCGATATTTCATTATAACTGACAATATGCTTTTGTCTAATTATGTTATGTACTGCTGCTGAGTGAGTTATTAGTAGTTTTACCCGTCGCCAATTATGTTATGTACTCGTCGAGTAGTTGTTAATAGTCCTGATGCGGAGAGAGGGAAATCAGAAGACCACCAGGTTTACCATGATACTTGTATTTTCCAGACAAGGAAAATAAATGTCACACAAGTGTATGAGTGAAATGCTACGTAGTGTACGAAACGTGGGAACAAGAATCAACAAGAATGATAAGCAAGAGTATATATGAAAATGGCTAATACACATGAACCAATAAATAGCCAGTCTTAACATGATTGGTTGTAATGTTATGTGATAACAAGGTCATACATTGTTTATTTAGTTAGTGGACAGACAAAAGCATAATGTCAGTTATAGTGGAATATCGATCCATATACACACAGCAAAATATAACAGAATGTCAAAAACAAAACACACATCATGTGGATACATATCACTTAGGTCACAGCATTGGGTACTCTAGTAATTTAACCTCATCTGCACAATTTGATTATAACAGATCCAAGGTGCATACTCTCCTAGGTTGCACCACTCACAATTACCTTTGTCACCAAACAAAAATTCTTTAGTATAAAGTATGAGTTCACAGTCTTCTGAAATACTGCCTGCTTATTCCTAATGGAGTGTGATTGAATGACAAATTGAAATTTGAAGGAGTGGAATGACAATAAGAATTAAAGGCTACTTAAGGAAAAGACTTTAAAACTCATCTGTCTGTACTACGGACTTAAAGTGTATACGTATTAATAACACAAAGTGGGGAGCGAAAAATAGGGGGTCCAAGACTGGTAGGAAGGCAACCTATTAAAACAAAACTCAAATGATCTACAGGTGGGCTGGACGTGTATCAGGATAATTTTAGATTTAATGAGTTTGACCTGCCAATTTCAGCAAGTAGGAGGAATCACTATTCGTCTCATAAATCTGATTTCCATCATTTAAGCAATTTATGCATATCCTGTAGAAAGAAGGTGATATTTCCTATTTTCATTTTTAAAACCGAAACTTGTAACACCACACTTAAGAAACAATAAACATATTGTGCAATCTAAAATTCCAGTATGAGCACAGTAATGTAAACTTAGATCTCACTGAAGCCTTTTAACCAGTGAATGATACTGTTCAAAGCATACCCAAATACTCCGCAATGTTTTTCCTCTATTCCCCTTGAGGAAATTCATATCATTTGATTGGAACCTATTTAAAAAATTTGTGCGTGAGCATAATTTGTTATCCATAGATATAACAATATCAAAAAATGGTGTAAATTTTATGTATCCAAACGGATAGGAAATATACGTAGCCCAGGTATTAAAGAATGCGTCGGTGGCACAGCGGTAGAGTGCTCACCAGCCATACGCAGATGGTCTGGGGTTCGATCCCCGGCCACCGGCGCACTCCTTTACATCGCTGAGCCAGTAATGACTGGCAAACAGGGAAGGTTGAACATAAGGCTAGCAACCCGGTCCCGTACAAAAAAAAATAAAAATAAATACTACTGCTACCGAAACTTAAAGCCCAATGTACCACTGGGAACGTAAAGGAATATGTTTACCAAACAAACTAGATAATGAACTAATGCTTCTTGAAAAATGCTTGAAAGAAAATGGTTACCCACAAAATTCCACTAACAAATATGGCAAGAATGAACTAAAGAAGCTTGATACAGCTAAGGTCAGTAAGAAGCCTTTTTGCATCAAACTTGACTACAATGGTGACGACGTTATGAGACTGGTAAATAAAAGATTAAGCGCAGCCCTGTCTAGGCCATATCCTGCAGCGTTATTAGTCTCTCTAACCCGAGCAATCTCTTCACTGATGCAGTCAAAGTTTGACAAGTACCCCTCACATGTTACCTCCAACTGTGCATACCAATTCACACGTGTATCTGCGGGAGCAGTTACATTGGAAGAACAGAAAGGAGGGCCTACGTTAGATTCTGCAAACATGTAACAATGAGCCTCCAGTTAAAGACACCGAATTGTTCAGGCTCTTCAATCGCGAAACACCTGATTGACACAGGACACCGAGTAGATGTGCTGGAATCATTCAAAATAATTAACAGACAAAGTACCTCAAGTCTTCTCAGGTTTGCTGAAGCTATAGATAGCAATAAAACGATTACAGCCTGACTTATGTGTCTGTTGTTGGATTTCAACTACCCTAGTGACTCACTTCTTCTTTGTTTTCTAATTTTGTTAACTTATCTTTTCACTCCCCCACCCCCATCCGCTTTATTTTTCGCTTGATTCTCTTAAGAGATAATTTTTCTAGATCTTCTGAGTTCTGCTCACTGGATTACATTATCAACTTCTTATCTGACCTCATGTGCACCGAAATTTTAAAATTTTGATCTTCTCTTGCCTAATTACGTATCTATTACTAATTGTCTTTTGTTACCACCACAACAACACAACTCTTAATGAATTTTTTTCAAGAAACTTCTCTAACACGATATATATACATATATATCGTAACACTTTAGACACCCTGTAAATCGCAACACCATTGTAAGCGCAATATCGCTTGAAATTAAGTCACGCGTAGATAAAGGCTATCCCGGTCCACAACAAACAAGAAGCCGGTCACTGTTTCTACGGCACTATTAATAAACAAATCAATAATTTGCATGGAGGATTTATTCATGACATCAGTTAGAGAACCACTAGAAAACCTGGGAGTACTGGACATATGTTTCGTCCTAGTTTGGGACTCTTCAGCAGTACGCACCCACCGGGGTTCGAACCCAGGACCTTCTGGTTACAAGGCGAGCTCGTAGACCATTGAGCCACTGGGACCCGAACCAATACCTGAAAATCAATAATTATTTATACAACGAACCTTAACGGTTTTAAGAGTACAAAACACAACGCTTAACAGAAAACAAGGTACCGCTATCAGAGTGGAATAACGTTAAAGCCAAAATTGCGAACTACCCGGAATTAGACACCACCGTTCAGGTAAGCAGTTAGTAGAAGAATGAACCCAAGTAAGGCATGGCATAAAACGGAGAGCGGTTAAGAGATAGACCGAGCATAGGCACAAAGATAGAATTTAATTGGCTACTTAACCAGGTAGGAAAATACAGATGAAGATCAATAAATAAGATAAACTTGACAGAATAGTACAAAGTAAGACATGGGTCAGCAAAAATAACAGTTCACAAAATACTCTGATTGGGTCATGAGTTCAACTGTCTAACTAAACGGATCAAGGTAAAAACACATACACACAGTTCATTAAACAAGGGGGGATAGACACGTTAGGCATGGATAATTGGGTTGCAATAACGCTGGGTTGATCCGGGAACAAGTTGGCTTGATTCAAGGATGGAAACTGAATTGATCTTACAACCATATTTTACTATGACGCTCTGATAATATGCTTGCTAATGGACAAAGGTTTGTTAAAATTGCACACATTTTATTTTTATTTTATTTTTTCTTTAAAAATTCAGGTTGTACGCGGCTGATGAGAACCAACGAAATAAAATGGATCCAGATTATTCTTCGCCAATGTTTCTTTCTTTTTTTTTGTTCAAAATAAAAGGTATTAAAGAAGGCTGCCATCGTGCGTCGGTGGCACAGTGGTTAGGACTCTCGCCGACCATGCACATGGTTCGAGGTTCGATCCCCTGGCCGACGCACACCTGATATCGATGGTCGGCCTGCGAAATTTGGGCTACCGATATCCATGCTGAAAATTTCATACTTGTACCAAAACTTAAGTGTAGAATCATGCTGTAATCAAAAATAAAAAAAATAAATATCAGTTCCTGCGCACTTCTTATGAATACAATATTACCGCACACATTTGCTATCCCCCACCTCCATTCAAATGTCTTGCGACACATTCAACCCGATAGACAATACAGTCAGGTGTAAAAAAGAACTTCTCTTACTCTCAACTTCTATTTATATATTCATAATAAAATAGAAAATCAGTAGGAAAAAGACAGATGAGAAGATTTCAAGAAGAAAGAAAAGAAAACACATAAAAGAGGCATATTGTCTGAGATTTTGAATATGAATCCACTTTCTATGATTATTATCCTGGAATGTCAACAACAGTTGAGATATAATAGGTTGTTAAATGATTTCACAGTAATGATATAATTGGGGAAAATAAATTAAAGTGTAAACAATACTATGCACGCAGAATGGAAGAACTATTAACACATCGATATTTAACTGAACAAAACAGAAGAATATTCAGAACAATATTGTAATATTCTGATGACGTGTTCCAGTGTAATGTTATGTGTGTAGGGTGTGTATGTGTGTCTCAAGAGACAAGAATATTGCTACCGCTATTACTATCGCCGACAGTGAATGATTACACGATGTAAAAGAAAGAGCATTCATGGGGACAAGCACACATACATGCACACATATACATACACACACAGTCAAACAGACGAATAGAAAGACATGAGATTATGTGATTAGACGTTTGTCCTTTTACTAGACGGAGAAAGAAAGGAGAACCTGAAGTTGAATGCAAAAACATAATAATAATAATAATAATAATAATAATAATAATAATAGTGCATCAAATAAAGAAACCAAAAGAAAAAAGAGTATTACTTGAGATACAATTTAAATAATAAATAAATAAAAATATATAAATATCAAGAAAATAAATGAGAGAACATTTAAAACTATAGAATTAGAATAATACATATACGTGTGCTAGTGAGGTGTTGTCAACGTTGAAACAGACACTAGATAATTGTAACGTAGAAAAATGCTGATAAAAGCTGCTCGTTTCAACTGTTTGACAGCAAGTGCATTTTTTTGTGCATTTGTTGTAACAACCAAACCTGGTGAAGAACAATTATTATTATTATTCACTTGGGATTCAAGGAAAAATATTTCACCAAAACACGGAGCTATTGTATTCAAAATAAAGAAAATTTAGAAAAAAAGAAAAAAAACAGCACAACTTTAATAAATGATTGACTATGAAATTTCATCATTGTTAAACAAACCTTGGCCTTGAACCAACAATCGATTGTATGGCGAATTTCACCTACCAATCAGAACAATCTGTTTCCTCTGCCCTAGACAGATTTTAATGTGTATAATTGAATTTTTGATTTTCCTGTCGATTGTTTGGACCGAAGTGCTCGGTCTCAGGTTGACATGCCTGTCGGCTACTTGTGCAGATGCTTCGACGATGTCTGGACATTTAATTAGTATTTAATTGATGGATGGTGACTAACAGTGGAATCCAGTTCAAACGCCAAAGCGTTATCCACTACACCATTTGGGCCACTTGGATCCCAATGTTAGTTACCATCCACCAATTAAATATTAATTAAATGCCCAGACACCATCGAAGCATCTGCACAAGTAGCCGACAGGCATGTCAACCTGAGACCGAGCACTTCGGTCCAAACAATCGACGGGAAAATCTCAAATTCAATTTAATTAATATGACCAGTTGCATAAGAGGTGGCTAGCTCTCGTGGCCCAAGCGGTCTAGTGGATAACGCCTTGGCGTTTGAAACTATGGGTACTGGGTTCGAGTCTCGGTGGGAATATCATCACTCACTGAGAAATGCAGGTACATCCAGTTAACGAGCCCCAAATATGACGAAATGCGCGTTGTCCTGGATTCCACTGCTAGTCACCATCCACCAATTAGATTTTAATGTGGTTAGAAAAATATATAAATATGACTTGCTATTTCCTAATAAAATTGTATTCTAATAGTCACAGGCTATTTCGATTCAGTAAAGTAGAAGGTGACAGGGACGAACGGGAGTATTTAACATATTGCTTGAGTCGTGTTCATTCAGTCAGTAAGTCCACTCAGTCATACCAACTGTCGACGCGATCATATCGACTGGCGACAGGCCCATAACACTCTTGACAATATATATATATATTCTCATTGGTTTGTAAGGAATTAACTAATGCCATGCGTTTAGTCCCTTGTTTGTTGCATACTGGATTGTGTCAATCAGGTGTGCGCTGTGGTCACCATGTTTGACGCCTCGCTATCGCAGTGCAACCTGACTCGATATTAGGCAGTTGGAGGCAATCGGCTTGCGGGCACTCGTCAGTAAAGCATATCTGCGATCTGGAAGGAAGCCATGTATGGATATATAGAGATAGATCTTTCATATACTACGTTAAGAGTAATTCTTCTTGTGTAACAATTTATAATGGTACACAGTCTACCAGGCTGATTTAGAGGGAGAGAGACCCAAATCCGTGACCTATTTAGCTGAGAACCGAGTAGTGCTCATGTCAATGCGCAACATCTCCCCACATGCAATAGTTTACTATGTTGAACCAAATAAAAGACTATATATGTATTTTGGAAACCAAGGGAATTCAGCAATTTTGATTAAGCTAGGCTGATATAGTATAAGATATGTTGTTAGGCTATCCAAATACATTAGGATGAATGTATTCTATTCAATTTCATCATAGATGTACTGATGGATTTAACCCTAACTCACTTCAAAGACTCAGGGATTGACTTGCTAGCAGGGAATAATCTTATTGATTTAGAATATGCAGATGATATAGTCCTTCTAGGCGAGTAGGCTGACAAAATGCATAGTCTTCCGAACACCTTGAGCTGCAAACTACGAATGTTTGGCATGCCAAATGCAAGATGATGTTACAGGAGTGAACTACACCGACTCGTAGATTAGAAATAGGAAGTGAATTGGTAGAGCACGTTAACCGATTCACTTATTTGGGAAGTACCATCAGCCAGTGCCAACGGGTTGATAGCTGATGAAATCTCAGCACGGATACAGAGGACTAGTTTCCCATATGCCAGTTTACGCCGTGTCTGGCACAGACGTGATATCCGAATATCGACCAAAGGGTGGGCGTACTGCTCATCAGTCCGCTCTGTCCTCCTTTGTGGCTGTGAGACCTGGCCACTGAGAGTGGAAGACATGAAAAGATTAGCTGCCTTTGATCATAGGTGCGTGCGTTCTATTTCCCGTGTGAAGTGGTATAATAAGGTGAACAATATTGAGGTTAGGCGTCGAGTATTAGGTAAGGAGAGGAAATTAATCGACGAGGTTGTGAAGCTACATCGACTGAGATGGTTAGGATATGTGTTACGTATGCCTAGTCATCGCCTTCCTTGACAGTGTGCAATGTTAGCTGATATAGGATCAGGCTGAAAAAGAGCTTGTGGAGGTCAAACCAAAACATGTCACCAGTCAATGAAATCGACAACAGTTAGTTTAGGCTGGCCACGTAGGAAGGTGTATACTTCCTGACTGGTTGGGGTCCTCCGGACGGTAAAAACTAATGGTTGGAAACAATTGGTGATATGGCTTAAAGTGATCGTTCTCAATGGCAGGCTGGCGCAGATGCATCCGCTCCTTGTGACTTATAATTTCCAATGAAGCTGTTTTGTTCTTCATTATTACTATTCCTTTGTCTCACACCTCTGTTTACTGTCTCTATTACGCATTTCTTCTCTTGCTTTATGTGCTACATGGAGGGAGTGTGGCGAATTGAACTGATGCACATAGGTGCAAACTTCTATGTCAAAAACAGACAGAACAGTCAGAGGATGAATGTATCTGTATATTCATTCACACATCACCAAATGTCTTTTCAATGATTTAGCGACATGTTCTACAGCTGTCAGCCTTAAGACCAATTATATTATCAATTATAACCAGACAAATATACATGAAAAAGGTGAAACTGAAAAGTTCTCTTTCCTCCCCCCTCCCACACACACACACATACCCAACACTCTGCGAATGCCCCATCACTTATTTACTGCCTAACTGATCAGTCTACACTCAGTCCAAGTTATCCAACACATACTGAGATCTTGGAATATATATATATATCTGGTTGAGATAACCAGAATAGCAAAGGACATACAAAAACAATCCGTAGTCCCAATTTGTCACATTTAGTTGATAGTGGTCATATAGTGGAGAAAACGAGAGCTTTCAAAGTAATTCATCGTATCCCACCGAATCTTTCCAATAGACTTCGTATTCGTCTACTGTGATTGAAATGTTCACCCCCACCCCAAAACTATGGTGAAGGTATATAGATGACACATTCTCACTGTACTTAAAACACAAGATATAGATAGATTTTTCGAACACATCTACTCGAAGGTAGAGGCAATTCAATTCACTTATGAATTGGAAAGTCAGGAAGGGGAGCTTCCAATGTTAGATTGCAACGTAAAAAGGAAAGAAGATAGGAAGCTAAACACTAGTGTTTACAGAAAACCCACACACTCAAACAGATATTTGGATTTCCGATCATCCCATCCTATGTCAGTGAAAATAGGATTGGTGAAATGTTTAAGTAATAAAGCACAAAAACTAAGTAGTATCAAGGAAAATCTAAGACAGGAAGTGACACATATAAGAGAAGCCTTGAAACTTAATAATTACCCTGCTAAATTAGTCAAGAAATATGTGGGGAAATGTAAAAATAAAATAAATGTTAGTAGTGATAGTGATAATAATAATAATGACGACATGCATGTCAAATATGCGAAAGATAATGACAATACCAACAATAAGGAATCTAAATCATCAGTAGTAATTCCATACAAGGAAGGAACTTCGGAAACCACCTTACGCAGAATTCTTAACAAGGCAGGCAGGAATAAAAGTGGCTGGCATTCAAACCCACAAACTCAATTAGAAACAAGCTTTGTCCGTTTAAGGATCCTGCCAGTGGGGTAGTAGTAGTTTATCTAATACCCTGACTGCAATGATTGTCAGGTCAAATACATAGGTCAAATTAGTAGAACAGGGGCAGTCACACTAGCCGAACATAAAAGCCTAGCTAAATCTAGATTGGTTGACCCAAATAAGATAAGAAATCTAGAAAATAGTTAAGCTATAGCACTACATGCAGTTACACACAACCATACAATAGGATGGGTGGGATAGAATGACAGTTTTAAAATCTAATGTCACAGCTGGGTGGAGGGAGAGATTGATGACAGAAGCTACTCCCCATACGACAAATAGGAGAAAACAAAGAAAACTATAAAACTCAAGTTTCAAAGTCGTGTGACCACAATTGATATGATAATGAACAATCAATTTTGTTCGAAACGTCATCCAGTAAATAATACTGTTTCCCTCACTGTGTGATACATCTAATAAACAAACTAATATGGAACAACTGATGACTTCTACACCACCCTTTACTTATATTTTCAATCCCTCTCTTATCATCCCTTAATCTTATCACATCTTCATTAAAACATATTTCATTTACTTCCCTTACAATCTAGCATTACTTAATTGGTTCATTTGTTTTTCTTAGCCTTTATCGACTACTTCTACCTGAACATTTATTTGTTTTATCATACTGTTTTTCATCAGTATTCGTGTTATCACAGATTGTCTCACCTTTTCATCCTTATTATTAATAAAGCCATTATTACTATTATGACTAATTGTACAATTTATATGCACCATCTTATTATCCTGTTGACAAAAACACCATGATTGGTTTATATTTGAATTTTTATTCTTAAAGTTATGTATATTAGAGTTAAGCCTGAAGGGATCTACTTGAAGACAATAGTGTTTGCTTAAATGTGTTGTTCTAAAAAACCGAATGTTCTGTATTACAGAAATATTACAAACTGACTAGATTTCAATGCAGAAATCAGTACAGAAGTGCAGCGGTTCAGGTTGCTTCACTCAACATATACAACACACCCAAGTAGTGAAAAGAGGGTAGGAAAAAGGGATGCAAAAGAACTACAAGAGAAAGAATTAGTAACATGAGTAAACACGACGATTTAATGGATATGTAAGATTAAAAATAGAGCGAACGCATTTGCTTCACCACTGAGAATGGCTTTTGAGTCATATTACCACCAGTGGTCTCCAGACATTGGTTCTTAGCGCCTCGAGCACTGCAACTATCTACACCTCCTTCTATATGGCTAGCTAAGCCAACAGTCGAAAAATTCATGGATTAATGCCAGGTCCCAACTTGATCACGTCTAGCTCATTTTTCCGAGCTAATACTATGAAAGTCGAGATATATGATGACTAGGGATGCGCATAACATGAGTCCTAGGCATTTCAATCGGCAACCTCATTACTTGACTTCCCCTTCTTACCTAACCTCCATATTACCCAGTGGACACATGAAAATAAAAAGAAAACGTTTTCAATCTAAGACAGCTAGTAGCTGCATAACTTCCACTTTCAATGGCCAAGTTCTTACAATTATAAAGAAGGATGGAGGGAACACTTACTCAGGGGATACGTGTCGTCTAATCGATAGCTGCATATCACGTCCAACGCCAGAGATGACGTTAGTTGGCAAAAACGCCACACGAGAGACTTTTATAATATCCGTGCTGGGATTTCGTCAGCAATCATAAAAACTGATACCCAGTGTTACACAAGCACCACTCGAATCCCGGAGATACATCTCATCCTATTTGAAACTTGTCAGATGGATGTAACTGCTCCGTAGTGTTCCCACACCGAACCCAGCATCCATCGCTTCAAGAGGTAAATTTCTACAGCCTTTAGCATTTGTAATGACAGATAAGAGGATCATCAATCACTGAAGATGCAGACACATCCGTCTAACGAGTCAAGAATAACACTGGAGGCGGATGTACTGGAATTCAATGGCCATGCGATTTCAGTGAGTCATATACGGAATATATATATATATATATATCATTCTGTACTGCAATTACGCAACACTGTAATAACAGTTTGGAGGCTAGTCAACAATTGGTGACATGGCTCAAAATCGTTCTCAGTGGCGCAGATGCATCCACTCCCTGTGACTTATGATCTTCAATGAAACTGTTTTGTATTTCTTTATTACTCCTTTGTCTCACACCTCTGCTCACTGTTTCTATTATGCTTTTCTTGTACTTTCTTCTCTTGCTTCGCGTGCTACACGGAATGTGGCGACTTGAACTTCCGCACATTTGTGCAAAGTTCTATGTCGAAAACAGACAGACAGACAGGCTAGTCAGCAGGTGTCTATTAATTAATAGCCTTCCTTTTTTTATTTATCCTTTAGAACAGGCATGAAAACTCCACAGTAAGTTGAGTTTCAAAAATAAAAATTTGAAATTTACTTAAAATCCAAAAACTGGAAAAATCAATAAACAAACGTTACCATAGTGAAAGCGAACAGCACGAAATTAAAGTAATTCATGTTGACAGAGAAATAACAAAATAATAATGATAATAACAATAACAACAAAAAAAACAAAATTCCATCTTTACCTACCTAATAAATCAATATCTGTACCATTCTGCTCTTTATAAGAAAGACACCGTTGCATGAATGTAATTAAATAATAAAATAAATTTTGATTACAAACTGGGAGAAGCTGCAACGCCTATAGAAAAAAATTCAAAAAAAGAAGAGTTTTTAGTAAACTGTGATGCTTTTATACATAATTGTAGGTAATTGGTAGAAAGCGTTGCCTGCACTTATACCTTGGGTTACATTCAGCTTATTGGCCCACTGATTAGTAAAGGCGTATATAAGCAATCTCAGAGGGGTTGATGTTCCATGGATAATTCGGAAAAGGCAAGCGTAAGTGCTTTGTGCAGTGTTGTCACTGAGTTAGACGACTCACCACTGTGGCGATTGAAGGCAATCAATCGGCAGGAAGGCGTAGACAATTCTACTCCTTATCAGAAGTCAAAAACAGATACAGTACTATTTTATTAACGTATCATATACGATAGCATTCAAGATATTTGGTTGGATTCTGTGTAAACACATTTGGTGGATTTAAATTCATGAGTAATATATGCAGTTGTACATACATACTCTGGCTTCTTATATCCAACCTGATAACATTTTTGCTTTCCTCCATTCGAGTGTTATATCATCATATTTGCTGTTATTTCACACAATGTTATAATCATCATTATTAAACTCGGTGTTTGTAACAAGAATTCATCAATTGACAGCTTTGTAACAAAGAAACAAAACTGGATGGTGTGAAACTCTGATTGTCCATCTACCAAAACAATACCTTCCTTCAGAGCTATTTTCATTGCAAAATGATTATTTTTAGAATCCTTTCCCTTTAGAGAACTTCGATTATGATTTAATATCTTTAGTAGATTTTCTTAACATTGGATTAATTTGTACTGATATTGATCCTTTCATTTATTTATTTATTACTTATTTAAACGCAGAAAAAAACTTGGTACAATATGGCACCAAGAAAGATGCGCCAAACAATAATAATAAAACAACATAGATCAAAGGTAAAAAATATAAGTAGAGAACGGATAAACAACTTCATCTGGAAGGAAAACAGTCATACTTAACAAGTTCAAACATTATTCGTTAACTATCATTTGGAAAGGAAGAAAGAAGGAAATTGCAGCACGTTCGCCATTGATTACGATTCTTGGCCATATACGATAACGTTTTGAGCTATCTCGCGAACCCCAGCCAGGGAGTTGTGACACACCAACCGATACCAATCTAGCACAAACACCCTTCATCCCATGACGCCACTTCGTGGAGTGACCAGGCCTCCGCCTTTTCCACCCTAGCTAGCAAACAGAGACCTGTACGGAAGCCTCTAGGATGATATTCGGAGCACATGTCCAAGACACCAGAGCCGGTGTTTCCAGATGATGACATTCAATGAATGATGATCTCCACTGTGTTCAAAAACAGGCCGCCGAACCTCAGAATTACACGCGTGTTGATGCCATCGAACGCAAGCAATCCTGTGTAGACAGCAATGATCGAACACGCAGAGTCGCCTCACATCCTCAGTCTACTCGGAGAGGCCAGGTTTCACAGGCGTAGAGCAAGACAGCCCCCACCGAATCATTGTATATCTGACCTTTGACAGCCAGGCTAACATCGCGACGGCGCCAGAGGTTGCTGAAGTTGATGTATGCCACCCCAGCCTTCATTATACGTTTGGAAATCTCATCCGTCACCGCTCCGCCAGCACTCACACAACTACCCAGGTACACAAACTTATCGACAACTTCAAGCGGATCACCCGTAAGAGTGAGTGCAGGTACAGGCTCTTGCCAATCTTGTAATATTCAGATACCTCATCTACGCCAGAGACGGCATAAACTGGCAAATGCGAAACGAGCCTCCTGTATCCGTGATGAGATTTCGTCAGAGATCAACAAGGAGTGGATGTATCTGCGCCAGCCATTGAGAACAACTTTAAGCGATATTACCGATTGTCTCCAGCCGTTGATATTTACCATCCCGAAGACCCCAACCAGTCAAGAAGTCTACACAACCCTACATGACTGGCTGGCTTAAATTAACTGTTGTGGATTTCATTGACTGATGAAGTCATGTTTCAGTTTGACCACTACTAGCTTTCTCTTTTCTAATGTGATCATATGCTGGCTAGCACTGCCCATTGTCTCAGAAGACAATGGCTAGAGGTATGCGAGCGTAACACATGTCCTAACCATCTCAATCGGTGTAACTTTATAGACCCGTCGATTGATTTCCGCTCCTTACTGAGCACTCAAAACCTAACCTCAATATTGCTCAACTTATTACAGACAATACTTATTAACTAATGGTTACTGTTAAACAAATGCAAAAGACGGAAATTTATACGGAAACTAAGTAATAATGGCATCAATAATAAAAGACGCGAAGAGATTAAAAAAAACACACACAACACAGCTTACTTGTATAGCACACTCAAAATTGGCAAGTGAATTCAAACATTTCTCCTGATATGGTGGCGGTATCACGGATTCCGGCAGCGTATTCAAAAATAATAATAAACATGATGCTATTGAATGTATTGAGATTGTTTCAGCTAATTAAAAAAAACACGAAAGAAATGAAAAAGGGCGAAGATAAGAGAATCTTTACATTTAGTTCAAAGCAACTTGTATGATGATGGTCGACAGCGGGATTCCCTAAAAACGCGGGTTTCGTCCTGCTTTAGAAACTCGTTATAAGTCAACCAAAACTATATATCTCTGGTGAGAGGTGATGTTCTCAATAAGATGGCAAGTCAGTACTTTTCGCCCTAAATGCAAAATCTTAGTATTTGAATAGATAGTGGATTGGCATTTAAATGATGACGGCTGGATTTAAGTTTCAATAGCAACACCATATTAGTCACTGTTATGTGTTTAAAGCCAACTGACGAAACTTGGTTGTATAATTCCACTGCAATCACCACCAAATGAGTAGTAATATTGAGATTATACCCAAATGGAACCGTACAAAATATCGACAGAAGAAAACAAGTATGGAAAAATAATTTACTCAATTCGTGGATATTATTATTATTATTTCAAGTTTGATCACGAAGTGACCTCAGTTAAAGAAGCATTTAAAACCACGGTGGAAGAGTACTGAATAGCTGTTTTGTGATCGAAACTGGAATAATTCAAATCCACACAAACATGCACTTGGAAATTAATCGAATGCTTACTAACAGCGGATTACAGGATGAGGTTGTCTAAAGTTCTAGTAAAAAGTTGTGACCAGGGTAGGGGTGTGTTCACTTTGTTGGGTGCCGATGACGTTGACTGTCAGTTGCACTATATGTCACAAATTAGCAGAGGTTTGAATTCAACGGCCACTGGAATTTGTCTGTGCTTAAGAAGTTAACTCCGTAACCTGAAGATTCAGAGTTCGATCCTTGGTGGGTTCATGGGCGCACACTGTTGGGGAGTCCAAATCTAGGACGAAACAGCTATACAGTGCTGTGCTTCGGTGCTTTTATTTGTTCCTAAATTAAGTCTGTTCGTGAGAAAATTTGAAATCAATCCGATCCCTGCAAAGCAGCACTTGATTTTATTATTACTGCTGCTAATGCACTTAAGAAAGCTAATATAGCAAGTCACCACCTACTTTAAAATGACAAGAAGGGAATAAACTACTTTAGTTTACTTACGAAATGGACAACTTGCTGGTGTAGTATCCAATATATCACGTATAACAGTGATATCTGATGATGGACCCATTTGACGAAATAGATCAGGCTGAATATGCATTAATTGATTTTGTTGGTTGAAAAAAAGCAGAGAAAAACATATTTGTAGACCATTCACATGACAACAAATGAACATTATATATATATACATATATATATATATATATGCATGTTGGCTGAAAGTCTCATGCTTAATGAAATGTGCTGCATCTCTACACATCACATTAAACCTCACACCAATTACAGATTAGAGCTGTTTTCATTTAATCTCTAAAGTTTAAGGTAGGATTAATCTGACTAAGTACTCAATCTGAAACCAAATTGTAACGGTAGAAGACAAAAGTCTTGATAAGGAATGTTTATTTGCAAGAAGTCATCTCTATAAGCAGCCGAATTATACACACCTTATTTGTAAATCACCATTTACACAGATCTGCCGTGTTGTGCTGCTTCTGGCCTTCCTTCATATTGTGCTTCCTTGAGTTCCTTTAACGTCTTCCATGTATCTTCGCAACGCTATATCATTTGCTTTCTCTGCTATTTGATGTTTTTTTGCCGATGGACATCAATAGTACACGTCACAAAACGATTCTGTGTTCAAATAGCACACCACTTATTTCCTCTAGATAGTGTCATCAGTCTACACAGGGTAGGTATGGCTCATAGGCTCATAAATGAGGAATCTGTTCCAGGTGACTGAGCCAGGAACAGACTTTGAATACAGGTTGGAATCCCACATCTCTTAAAAAAGTTTGAAAAACCAGACAGAATTATCAAGCCACAATGGTTGTGACACATTGTCAAATATGTATAAGAGCAAATGGTTTTAAGGGGGATTTTTTCGGCAGTTCTGTCTGTGTGAATACGTTAATATCGCAAACGGACCTCCCCTCAGCGTCAATCGGGACTTAAAATTCCCGCATTGACCCTTCCTAACCCCACCCACCTGTATCAAGTGGATGGGAAGCATTCCTGACTAACTGATTGTCTGAGGGGACTATCTTAGACCACTGTTAAACCTCTATTCTACAGCAGTATAAATTTTCACTCTTTTTTTCTTTGGCTTGAACTTTGACCCCTTTTGTGTGAGGTTTCTTTCTTATCGGTTGATTAATTTTGTCTATTTCTATGTGTCTGTTGATTGATGATTCACTGGAATGTCAAGCTTCTAAAAATTCTCGAGCATTCTTGTTGTTTCCTCTGTCTAATATTTGAACGCTGGTTGTCCCAGTCGAATTGATGTCCGTGGTTGTATGTGTGTAGTGATATCAGAGAGTGGATATCATGTCTTTTGACGGCTAGCTTATGTTCGTGGATACGTAGACGAAGGGGACGTCCACTTTGGTCAATGTAGTGTTTTTCGCAGTTGTTACAATTTACTTTGTAGATGATGTTGGTTTTATCTTCGTTCGCTGTTGAGTCTTTTGGTTGATATAGAATTGAGTGAAGTGACTTTGTTAGTTTGTGTACGATGTCAATTCCTAAAGTTTTGAAGAATCTTGTAGTGATTTCTGAGACATCTTTTGTATGTGGTAAGGCGATTTTCTTTGTGCTTTCCTTGGAGGCTTTTGGTTTGATAGGTCGACTTGGGGGTATATGTCTCTTGATGAAATTCCGTGGATATCCATTCTTTTGGAAGACGTCCATGAGATATCTTTCTTCAATTTTCCTTAAGGTGGGAGTGGTGCAGTGAGTCCTGGCTGGCCCTCGTGAATAGTGTTTGTATGCAATTCCTTTTGTGCTATTGGATTGTTGCTGTTGTAATTCAGGATTTGGTCTGTATGAGTTGACTTTCTATAAACTTGAATTTCTAATTCCCCTGTGGTTGTTCACTTGACTAATACGTCCAAAAATGGTATTTTGTTCTCAGATTCTTCTTCTCTTGTGAATTTGATGTCGTTGAAGACGTTGTTTATTAAGTTGTGAGTTTTATCTAACTCGTTTCTTTTGATTATCACAAATGTGTCGTCGATGTAGCGTATCCAAATCTTGGGTTTGATCTTTGGTAGAATTATTTTTTCGAGCCTTTGCATTACTGCTTCTGCAATCAAACATGATATTGGTGATCCCATGGGTGTTCCTTTGACTTGTTCATATATTGGGTCGTCGGAACAATAAATTGCGTGTCAATGGAAAAGCTAGTGAAGAAGAAAAAACTCAAAGTGACAAACTCTAAGAGGAATCCAAGGAGAAAACAAAAACACCAAAGGTAGATGGTATTCATTATTCCTTCTTTTCAGAAACGTTACTCAAAGTACTACTTATTATCTACTTATGAGTAGTACACACCACACAGTATTGACAATTTGTCAACTCTTGATATGTGGACCAAAATTCGAACCTGTAAACCCAGTCAGTTGGAAGTCGACAGTCTACACCACCACCACACCAATATTCTGAAAAGGGGTTATATTGATTAATCAACAATAACCAGACAGAGGAAGATAAAATAAAAGCCAAAACAACAGTTTCTTGTGTCCACACCTACCTCAGTTATATATTCATTTATGTGGTTGACTAATCGAAATATTTCTTTTGGTACATGAAATGGTTTTTGATTAGCTATAGTAGACAATTTTGTTCTAAAGTAATCACTGTTTTCTGAACGAGACAATTTTATCTTGAGAAGAGAGAAAAAACACACGCGGAAATAAGTAGTATAGGTTATGTTTTAGAAAAAAAATAACAAGATGACAAAAAAGAAGATACAAGTTTATGCAGTCATATGAGCCTTTCCTTGCTCTCCCTCTCTCTCTCTCTCTGTGTCTCTTCCCCTCCCTCTTCTTTCACACTCTCTTCATCATATGACATGAGATGACACAATATTGACACAGAAATTCACATGAAACACCCATCAGAAAAGAAGTTGTTCGCTGTGTAGAGGCATAGAAACAAAAAACCAAAGCAAACAATATGAACAATAATAATAAGCGAAAACCAGAAGGATCTGATATATACTAGATAGTGGAAATAGCAAGAACACATGATGATTGATGCTCAGTTCAAGTGCATTTTGATCAGTCAACAAGATGTAAGTAATGCTACATTTTAGTGTTGACTGAGTACTAATACTAGCTAAAATATATACAATGGAATCATTAAGTTAGGAGACCTGTTAACGCAACGACACAGGGTGTATGTTCATCAAGTGATGTTGTTGGATAGCTCAGTGGAAACATCTTCAACCGTATTACTGAGTGGTCATGGGGAAATCAGTTCCGACACTTATGCTCATGACTTCCTGTGAACTGCTTCTATTCGTGCAACATCGATTTTAAAGTAGGTTACTGAAAAATGATTAAAGCGATCAAAGTTAGATGACGATAAATATCTTTTTTTCGACAAAAAGCATAAAGTTATTATCAAATAACAACTCCATTATTGGGAATAATTCGGGGTTGGAGGGGGAGGGGGTAAATGTGACGACTTATATAACAATAATATAGCTGGAAGTCAAGTGGTGTCAGTCTCTTTTTTCAGTGTAATGGTTCCCAACAGCCTTGTAAAAAGGCTATCATGCGAAACGATATTTGGTCAGTTTAATGAAATTGGCTTTGCTTTAGCTGGATATATATATATATATATATATATATATATATATATATATATATATAATTGTTCCCTGTGGTTACTAGTGGAACGTAAGGCTTCAACTGCACGTCTCCACTTGCCACTTCTGTCTTCCTTCTGCTGTACTTTTCACCTGCATCCATGTTAGTCCATACTGTTTCAACTCCTCAACTCTTCACATGATCTTCTCCATGTCACCCTTGCACCGACGTCCCACTCGCCACTTCCCTTTCGGGTTCCACTCGAGCAATGGCCTGACGCGAGATGTTACCCAGTGGTCTCCTCAGCCGGTGTCCAATCCATCTCCACTTTCTCCTGCATATTTCTTGGTTGGCGAATGGTTCTTGTTTTGTTTGTTCCCAGCCATAGTTTCTTGTTGGTGATTCTTTCCGGCACAGCCATCTGATCTTCAGTATAGAGCGAAGACAGTTAGTTGTTGATAAAGGTCTTCAACAGGTTGTTGGAAATATTCTTTGTGAACCCCCGCCAAGTTTCGGATCTGTATAGAAAAACTGACTTGACGTTTGTATTGAAAATGCGAATTTTGTTGTTGATGCATTTATATATATATATATGCATACCACCTTCATTTACTAATTTACACATCAATAGGACTATTGATGACAAAGTATGCTGTCAGAAATCGACAAATAGAAAGCTCTAATCAATAGAATAATTTCATTGAGCCTTTCTTTGATGAATTTAAAGACGAAGCAGTAACAAAACAATGTAGCGTGATAAAAACGGATCCGTTTTATTATTTTGTCGGTATTGTGTGTCACCTGCTAACAACTTTAATTCGTTGGAGTAACAATTATCGAGCAATAAGTAAGACTACTTCTGGTATGTATATCAATCATAATGCTAATTCAACGTTACAATTCATTTCCGACAGACAGGCTTATGAAACACCTACCCCTTAACCCAATATTGAAGATCAGGTGGGCAACCAAAAAGGATAATTAACAACAACAAAAAACTCTGACAATCAACCTATTTATTGCCTAAGAAATATAGATCAATTACATATACACGCTGAGGAAACCTTCAGATGACATCATAATGCATCAGGCTCTCAAGTGAAACCAAACAGGAAACAACGAGTTGAGTGCCTGAGAGCGACACAGAGAACACAGTGTTAAAGAGAGAATGGAAGCCGGTAGACAGCTGTGGAACGAGCTGAAAGCAATGGCAGAGAACACAGTGTGGTAGAGATGTTCCCTGGAGCACTCTGCTCCACTTGAAACGCAAGGAATGAATGATAATATGACTAATAGTCATCAATTACTGTTTGATAACTATTTTCTCTAACAAATTAAGATGGTAAGTAGTTGGGAAGTTAGCGAACGATCTAAAATAGGTCCATTATGGGTAAAATTTGTTTTGATAAAGTCTCACAGTGTTGTTATACAGTAATGTTTACTGATGACTTTTAGAGCATAAATTATTACTGCTCATAATCATATCAAGGCACTACTCACACGACTTCCTAACTTCATTTATATAGTTTCATTATTTTTCACTTGATTTGATTGGCAGTAGTATTTTCCATATTTCGGGTATGAGTGATGAATCATTCCTATTGCATGTGTTTGGTGTAGACTCGATGAACAAGGATTCAGTAATCAACCTCTCTCTCCACCTACCTAGATTACTTTTTAAAATTTTAACCCTCTCCCACTCTATTGTGTGGTTGTGTGTTAATGCATGCACTGCAATTGCTGAGATTTTTCACATATTAAATCACTTCTCTGGGTCAACCATTCTTACCTTAGCTAAATTCTTATGTTCCGACAATCTGACTACCCCTGACTTACTAGTTTGACCTATGTAGTTGACATCACATTAATTGCAGGGTATTTTGTAAATAATATTATTTTGTCTAATTGGTTCAACTGGGTCCTTTAACCTACAGAGCTTGTCCCTGAGTGGGTTTGTAGGTTTAAATGTCACTCTAATTCCTGCTTTATCTAGAGTCCTACGTAGGGTCTCAGATGTCCCCTCTTTATATGGTATAACTGTAGATGACTTATATTCTCTCTTATTTATGTTATTATTACTAGTTTCACAATTATTTTTATTTTTTTATAAGTCATCTACAGTTATACCATATAAAGAGGGGACATCTGAGACACTACGTAGGATTCTGAATAAAATAGGAATTAGGGTGGCATTTAAACCTACAAACTCACTCAGGAACAAGCTCTGTAGGTTAAAGGACCCAGTTGAACCAATTAGACAAAATAATATTATTTACAAAATACCCTGCAATTAATGTGATGTCAACTACATAGGTCAAACTAGTAGGTCAGGGGTAGTCAGATTGTCGGAACATAAGAATTTAGCTAAGGTAAGAATGGTTGACCCAGAGAAGTGATTTAATATGTGAAAAATCTCAGCAATTGCAGTGCATGCATTAACACACAACCACACAATAGGGCGTTCTATTTCCCGTGTAAAGTGGCATAATAAGGTGAGCAACATGGAGGTTAGGCGTAGAGTTCTAGGTAAACAGGGGAAATCAATCGACGAAGTCGTGAAGCTCCATCGACTGAGATGGTTAGGACATGTGTTACGTATGCCAAGTCATCGCCTCCCTCGACGAGCTATGTTAGCGGATATAGGGTCAGGCTGGAAAAAAGCTAGCGGCGGTCAAACGAAAACTTGGCATCAGTCAATGAAATCCACAACAGTTGGTCTAAGCCACGTGGAAAGGTGTAGACTTCCAGGCTGGGGTCCTCGGGACGGTAAAAATCTATGGTTGCAAACAATTGGTGACATGGCTCAAAATCGTTCTCAGTGGCGCAGATGCATCCACTCCCTGTGACTTATGATCTTCAATGAAACTGTTTTGTATTTCTTTATTACTCCTTTGTCTCACACCTCTGCTCACTGTTTCTATTATGCTTTTCTTGTACTTTCTTCTCTTGCTTCGCGTGCTACACGGAATGTGGCGACTTGAACTTCCGCACATTTGTGCAAAGTTCTATGTCGAAAACAGACAGACAGACAGACACAATAGGGTGGGAGAGGGTTAAAATTCTAAAAAGTAATCTAGGTAGGTGGAGAGAGAGGTTGATTACTGAATCCTTGTTCATCGAGTCTACACCAAACACATGCAATAGGAATGATTCATCACTCATACCCGAAATATGGAAAATACTACTGCCAATCAAATCAAGTGAAAAATAATGAAACTATATAAATGAAGTTAGGAAGTCGTGTGAGTAGTGCCTTGATATGATTATGAGCAGTAATAATTTATGCTCTAAAAGTCATCAGTAAACATTACTGTATAACAACACTGTGAGACTTTATCAAAACAAAATTTACCCATAATGGAATTACACTCTACCACAGTGCACAAGTTTTATTCGTCTCTAAAATAGGTTCATTTAGTCTTCCTCTTAGTGTGTATGTGAGTTACGATTGTTGCTTTAAGTTCTGCAAATAAAATCAACCAATCAAATCAATAACCCACCTGTTCTTGTAATTCAGAAATTGAAAGCTTTGTCACAGGATCTGATCCCATTGTTAACAGTAGAATTAATGGTAAACCAAATGATGTTGGTATGAATTGACCACTAATCGATATAAAATAATCTTTACCATCTTCCAATTGTAAAACAATAATAGTTGATAATTTAGCCAAGCCACTATTCAATGCATATACTTCCTTGTAATTAACAAAGATTTGAAATTCTAATTTTACAGAAGTGCCTATATATAAAGCAAGAATAATCAAATTTTTATATTAGAATAAGTCTCCCCATCACTACAATGAAATCACTGCATGTTAGGTGAACAAAAAGTGAATTGGAAAAGCACATGTGGACAACATACACATTTTCACAGCTTCATTTCTCTCCAGTACAAAAGAAATTTAGTAAAGACTCTTAGCTACACAGGGTTAGAGCTATATGCTCAGAAGAGGTAATTAATGATGAACTAAGGATTGTATATGATATCTTGATTCAAAATAGCTATCCTGACAAATTCATCAAGGAAACACATGACAAAGAAAGTGGCAAAGGACTATTCTCGATCTGTAAATAAGAAAACCTTTATATATACGACTGAAATTCAAGTGTGAAATAATTACTAACAAGTCAAGAAAATCTATTTAAAGAACTTTTAATGCTGGTAAACTACAAGCCATGTTTTCTACAAGACCGATGGTGATACCTCAGTTGAAAGATGAAGTACCTAGACTAGCCATTTCCAAATGTATCTATCAATTCAACTGAGCTTGTTCTAGATAGAGTTATATTGGCCGTTGCTCTAGGAACTTTATTTTGCCCGTTCGAGAACATCTTCCAGTGTGGATAAGTAAAAGTGTAGTAAAAACCATCAACAGTTCTAATATTAGCCCACCGAGTCCCAACCTGCCACAAAGCCAGCATTGAAGAATCCTTCTCTACTATCTACCGTGTACCAAATAAATTCCCGACAACATCAAGGCACCACATACTCCAAGCAGCGAAAGCTGTCGCGATTTGCCTTAAACAACCAGTGCTCTGTGTGCAGAAGAAGCAAGTCCAGTCACTACGACTGCCCTGTTCTTCAGTAGAGACCGTAAATTCGTGAATTTGTCTGTCTGCCTGTTTGTCTGTTTTCGACATTGAACTTTGCACATATGTGAGGCAGTTCGAGTCGCCACACTCCACGTAGCACACGAAGCAACAGAAGAAAGTACAAAAAATGCATGAGAGAGACACTAAGAAGAGGTGCGAGACAAAGGAGGAGTCATAACGAAGAACAAAAGAGTTTCATTGGAAATCATAAGTCACAAGGAGCGGATGCATCTGCGCCAGCAGGCCATTGAGAACGATTTTGAGCCTTATCACCAATTGTTTCCAACCACTGAATTTTACCGTCCTGAGGACCCCAACCAGGAAGTCTACATCTCCATACGTGGCTTAGACTAACTGGTGTGCATTTCAATGACTGGTAACATGTTTTGGTTTCATCGCCACTAACTCTTTTCCAGCCTAACCCTATGTCAGCTAACATTGCCCATTGTCGAGGAAGGCGATGGCTAGGCATACGTAATAAATGTCCTAACCATCTCAATCGATGCAACTTCACAGCCTCTTCGATTGACTTCCCCTGCCAACCACCCACCTATCACTCGACCAAAGCCTAACCTCAATATTGCTCATTCTATTATACCACTTCACACGGGAGATAGAACGCAGGTACCTACGATCGAAAACAGCTAGGCTAACTTTTCGTGTCTCACACTCTCAATGGCCAGGTCTCACTATCATCTTTCCTATTTTTCTCTGATATTCAGTGTATTCTTATGTCGATGCTAACAAACTGTATTCCATTGATATTATTACTCGTAAGATGTTATTTAAACAACATTAGTGTTTTTAATAACACTAATTAATTCAATGTTATGTATATCGCGTTGAAGACATGAAAAGGTTGACTGCTTTCGATCATAGATGTCTGCGATCTCTGTCTCACGTTAGGTGGTTTCACAAGATAAGTAATGTTGACGTTAGGCGTAGAGTGTTGGGCAAACAGGGAAAATCAATCGACGAGGTTATAAAGTTACATAGACTAAGATGGCTAGGTCACGTGGTGCGCATGCCTAACCACCGCCTCCCCCGACGGGCATTGTTAGCTGATATAGGTTCAGGTTGGAAAAGAGCCAGTGGTGGCCAAACAAAAACATGGCCTCATCAATCCATGAAATCCTTGACAGTTAAACTGAGTCGGTCAGGTAGGGAGATGCAGACTCCCGGGTTGGGGCTCTCGGGACTCTAGGAATCAATGGCTGGAGACAATAGGTGACATGGCTCAAAATCGTTGTCAATGGCGCAGATGTATTCAATCTCTGTAATCTTTCATATTCCTTTCTACCATTACCCATTCTGTTTCACTCTTATATTTGTCAAACTCTATAAATTCTCTTCACTCATCTTCTTGTCTACCTCTGTGTGCTACTTGGAAGGTGGCAACTCGAACTGCTGCACTTCGGTGCCAAGTTCTATGTTGAATCCAGACAGACAGAGAATGTTATGTATATATAACTGTAGAACTTTATGAAGGGCAGGTTATCGAAAAGAATATTCTTTGTTCAGTAACCATCCTTTTGAAAAAGTGAATCAGCGAAACAAAATTCTAGTCCTTGATCTTAAACAGTTCATCATAACATGCTACTGCTAAATAGCTCGTAGACATGCTTCTACCTGTTAGAAAAAGCCTCATCCACCAGAGCAAACATGTCAGATTTATTTCAATTTTTTAATTAATTAATTAGGTGATATCAACGTATCCGGGATGAGAATGGGATCGCTGGATGTTAGTTCTCTTTATTACTATCCTCCTCAAATCCACAGAAGGTATTACTTTGAACACTAATGTTCCCATCGACTACTTACGAGAACTACCATGGAAGTGTACTTTTAATGTTCATTTCAAGGTCGGTGACGTTATATTTTGTTGAAAAGGAGATCTGATGATTCCTTTCAGAGGTCAATCTACAGAAAATCAACATAGAACGGTCAATACACGAATTTTCATAGTTGCTCCCTTTAAGAAGAAAGAGGATTATGAGATCCCCCTCCTTATCTTCAAGAGCAAGAAGGATTTGTGCCAACGATGCAATAGAGAATGAACTAGAGATTTAAAAAAGTCCTAAGACGTTCACAGAGAAAAAAACACATCAAAGTAATCAAAGGCCTGATAGAGTCCAAACGGTATCGAAGAAGTTGATGTCTACGAATTTTGCATTTGAAGGCGATTACCCCAACTGAGATTTTGAAGAACCTTCTATTTAGATCTCTGACAAAAACAATGATTTTCAGCTGACCTATGAACCAGTTTAAACAGTCAGCAAATGATCAATGGTTGTGTGAAAAATAAACTGCTACTCTAAGGTAGTGGGGTGTGTTTGTAAATTTGTTCGCTCTTGTGAAACTAGTTATATTGGCTGAAAAAAAGCGCACACTTTCCAAATACATCTCTAAACATTATTCAGCACGGTTAGCAAGAAAACAATGCGAGACAATTACTAGCTCAATTCTCTAGGCACAGGTTCCTAACTGAGGTTATTAAAGCTGTCACCAATCTGAAACAAGGCAAAGCAGCGGGACCTGATCGAATGACTCCAGACGTATTTAAGTTCGGTGGAGACAGTTTACTGTCTGCATTAACTGAGGTTCTAGGCAGCGTCTGGGAATCAGAAGAAGTCCCATCAGGTTGGTGTAAGTCACTGATTATCCCTATATACAAGAAGGGAGACAAGTCTTCCTGTGATAATCACAGAGGGATTAGCCTGACTAGTATAGTATCTAAAGTCTTAGGCTCAATAATATTGCACAGACTAAGTGTTGCTCGGGAGGCACAAACACAAGACAGCCAGGCAGGCTTGAGACCAGGAAGAGGGTGTATTGATCATACCTTCACCCTCCGACAGATTCCAGAACATAGGGATTCCTACCGGCGCCCAACAATCATTATATTTCTTGACCTAAAGGCGTCATTCCATTGTGTCGACCGAGAGGTACTCTGGTGATGCTTGACCGTAAAGGGAATGATGAGAAAATACATTGCACTGATTAAGAAGCTCTACCCGAACTCAAGCAGCCAGGTGAGGGCTTACGGCGAGTTGTCACCTGAAGTGGTGACAACTAGTGGTGTCCGTCAAGGATGCCCATTGTCCCCACTTCTATTCAATTTCATCATAGATGTACTAATGGACTTAACCCTAACTCACTTCAAAGACTCAGGGATTGACTTGCTACCAGGGAATAATCTCGTTGACTTAGAATATGCAGATGATATAGTCCTTCTAGGCGAGGAGGCTAACAAAATGCAGAGTCTTCTAAACACCCTGAGCTGCAATCTACGAACGTTTGGTGTGCGATTCCCCTCCGCTAAATGTAAGATTGTGTTACAGGACTGAACTACTCGGACTCTTAGTTGAGAAATAGGGAATGAAGTGGTAGAGCACGTTGACCGCTTCACTTATTTGAGAAGTACCATCAGCCACAATGAGGTGATCTCTGATGGAATCTCAGCACGAATACAGAAGGCTACTTTCGTATACGCCAGTTTACGCCGTCTCTCGCGTAGATGTGATATCCAGCCTGCTGTCGACCAAAGGGCGTTTGTACTGCTCAGAAGTCCGCTCTGTCCTCCTTTATGGCTGTGTGACCTGGCCAATGAGAGTGGAAGACATGAAAAGTCAGGTTAACTGTCTTCGATCGTAGGTACCTGCGTTCTATCTCCCGTGTGAAGTGGTATAATAGAATGAGCAATATTGAGGTTAGGCTTTGGTCGAGTGATAGGTGGGTGGTTGGCAGGGGAAGTCAATCGAAGAGGCTGTGAAGTTGCATCGATTGAGATGGTTAGGACATTTATTACGTATGCCTAGCCATCGCCTTCCTCGACAATGGGCAATGTTAGCTGACATAGGGTCAGGCTGGAAAAGAGTTAGTGGCGATGAAACCAAAACATGTTACCAGTCATTGAAATGCACACCAGTTAGTCTAAGCCACGTATGGAGATGTAGACTTCCTGGTTGGGGTCCTCAGGACGGTAAAATTCAGCGGTTGGAAACAATTGGTGATAAGGCTCAAAATCGTTCTCAATGGCCTGCTGGCGCAGATGCATCCACTCCTTGTGACTTATGATTTCCAATGAAACTCTTTTGTTCTTCGTTATGACTCCTCCTTTGTCTCGCACCTCTTCTTAGTGTCTCT